ATCGGGGACTCGGGGGTGGGCAAGACTTGTCTGATCATTCGCTTTGCAGAGGACAACTTCAACAGCACATATATCTCCACCATCGGTGAGCCCGCCGGCCGGGTCCCCGGCCCCGACCCCGTGACCTCCGCCCCGGGCTCCCAGCTCTTCGCGCCCCCTCCAGCAGGACTCCTAAAGCCGGGCCCCGCACCTCCGTCGGAGACCCGCGCCCACGCATGCCCCTGGCCGGTCCCCAGACGCGGCCCTCTCTGAGGCCTCCCGGGGCCCCCCCGTGGCTGCCGTCCGGCATTCCCTCGGTGCCATCTTCCTCGCCGCCCCAGATCCACACAACCCTTTCTGTTTCCCTCTCAGCTCCTCTCGCCGCACCCGTCCGCCTCGAACGCGCCTGACCACTCTCCACGTTTTTTCTCTCTCCGTCTCCCCAGCCTCAGTCTCCCAGTCCTGCCGGCCCTTGGCGCCCCGCTGGGCTCCCGACTCCCCCAGCGCATCCCGCTCTCCCGTCGCTTCCCGGTCCCCCCGCCCTCAGCTTCTCAGGGGCCTGGGGTGGCTGGGAAGAACGGCGGCCGTGAATATGCAGTCAGCTGGGTGAGGAGCCGGAAATGGGGGGACTTTGGGGGTCTCTGAGTCAGCCTGGGGACTCATCCCGCCCCCCAGCCGGCTCGGGGGCGGCGCCCGAGTTTCTGCTGAGGAGAACATTGTCTCCCCTCCTCCCTTCCCATCTGTCTTCATCTCCTCCGGCTTGGGAAATAAGACAGGAAGAGTCTCAAGACGATTCTGGGCCCAAAAGAAAAGGGGAAAGGCCCCTTTCCCAATTCAGTCTCAGAGGAGTCCTGGTTAGGCTGATTTGCTTAGCCCCAAGTTCGGCCCACCGGGTGGTCCACCCGGACTGGCATCAGCCATGCTCTTCCTGATTCTTCAGCGGCAGGGTGGGTGGAGTGCCGAGCCAGAAGGGGAGAGGAAAGGGAAAGGAGCATTTGGGGGACGACAGGCGGGACCCCCTGCAGAATGTTCACCCCCTCCTCCCCCCAAAATCCACAACATGTAGGGAAAAGCCGTATTCTTGCTACACAAATGCAGCTTCTGGAAAATTCTCCGATCTCTGACTTTCAACAAGATTGCTCCCCCCAAGGTTCCCCCCTCCCACCTCTGGTGTTGCCACTCTTGCAGTCCTGTCTCTCCAGTCACACATTTTCCATGTGTGCACACACGTCTCAACTTCAGTGCACACCTCCCACCCCCAGGAATTGACTTCAAGATCCGCACTGTGGATATAGACGGGAAGAAGATCAAACTGCAAGTCTGGTGAGTGGTTCCCAGGGTCGCCTGCCAGCTCTCCCCACTTCCCTCCAAGTCTTTCCCGTCCCTTTGACATCGTTTCTCTCCCTTTCCCCATTGATCTTTCCAGTACTTCTAATCCACATCTCTTGACTCACTCAGCTGTCCTTCCGTCTCTCTTCCCGCTCTCCCAGCTATTTTCAGCTTTTTTTTTTTTCGAGTTGGAGTCTCACTCTGTCGCCCAGACTGGAGTGCAGTGGCCGCTCCCGGCCACCGCAGCCTCGACCTGCTGGGCTCCGGCGATCCTTCCGCCTCAGCCTTCCAAGTAGCCGGAATTACAGGCATGCACTACCACGCCTGGCTGATTTTTTGATTTATTGCAGAGATGAGGTCTCGCTGCCCAGGTGGGTGTCGAACTCGCGGGCTCAGGCAATCCACTCACCTCAGCCTCCCAAAGGCACGGGATGACAGGCTGAGCCACCGAGCCTGGCTTATTTTCAGCTTTTTAAAAAAAAATTTGTCTCTCTGGTTCCAGAGCACAAATGTCTGTAGAGCCATAATGTGGAAACTGGATGTATACAGTTAAATGGCAAGTAGCAGGATTAAGATTTGACTGTGGCCAGGCGAAGTGGCTCACACGTGTAATCCCAGCAATTCAGGAGACTGAGGCAGGAGGATTGCTTGAGCCCAGGAGTTGGAGACCAGTCTAGGCAACATAGTGAGACCTCCCGTCTCTACAAAAAAAAATTTTTTTTAATTAGCCAGGCATGGTGGTGCACACCTGTAGTCCCACCTACATGGGGGACTGAGGTGGAAGAATCACCTGAGCCCAGGAGGTCAAGTCTGTGGTGAGCTGTGATCCTGCCATTGCACTCCAGCCTAGATGACAGAGTGAGACCCCTAACTCAAAACAAACAAACAAACAAAAGTCTCCAGTCTAAGAACCCAAGAAGCCAATTATAGAGGCTTGAACTGCCTGGGGACCCTGAAGGTGTTTAAATGGTATGAGGCTTAGTGGAGGCTTCATGATATAAGAGCAGATGGGTTCAAATCCTGGTCCTGTTACATGCCGCTTGGCCTTTGTTAAATCTGTTGTTTTGGGGTTTTTTTCAAGTCAGAGTCTCACTCTGTTGCCCAGGCTGGAGTGCAGTGGCACACTCATGGCCCGCAGCCTCAGTGTGCTGGGCTCAGGCAATCCTTCTGCTTCAGCTTTCCAAGTAACTGGAACTACAGGTGTGTGCACCACACCCAGCTAGTTTTTTGATTTATTGCAGAGATAAGGTCTCTCCAAGTTGCCCAGGCTGGTCTCGAATCCATGGGCTCAGGCAAGCCTCTCGCCTCAGCCTCCGAAAGTGCTGGGATTACAGGTGTGAGCCATCACATCCGGCATTAAATGTTTACTTATTTGTAAAGTAGGGACAATAAAACATGTAACACAAGGATAGAGCGAGGATCAGATAAAGTGACACAGACACAGCGCCTGACACAGAGGAAATATTAAATGAATAACCGAGAGACATCTTGTTTCCTGTTGCAGTCCTGTCTCTCCAATCACACATTTCCAATCACCCTCTCAAAATCAGCTCAGCTGTCTTTCATCCCTGTCCCCTTTACTGTTTCCTTTCTCTGTTCCTTTTGGCCCCACCGTGTTGCAAAAGCTAAACTCTTGGGGGAGGAATTCTTCCCGTGGAGAACCCTTCCCATCATCCCATCCCTTGAAACCATCTCCTTGTTTAGGGACACAGCGGGCCAAGAGCGATTCAAGACAATAACAACCGCCTACTACCGCGGAGCCATGGTATGAAGTGTGGGTCTGGACATGGGATGAAGACCCGAGGCAACAGAATATGGTTCTATGAGTACAAGGGGTCAGGGGTTGGGGCGTGTAAAAATGGGATGGGTTCAACTGATTGAGAACACAATTTTTAAAAAGTGGGGGCCGGGCACGGTGGCTCATGCCTGTAATCCCAGCACTTTGGGAGGCAGAGGCAAAACGATTGCCTGAGTCCAGGGATTCAAGACTAGCCTGGGCAACCTGGAGAGACCTCATCTGTACAATAAATTAAAAAATTAGCTGGGCGTGGTGGTGCACGTCTGTGGTTCCAACTATTTGGAAGGCTGAGGCAGAAGGATCACCTAAGCCCACCAGGTCAAGGCTGTGGTGCCATGAGCGTGCCACTGCACTCCAGCCTGGGTGACAGTGAGACTCCGACACAAAAAAGAAAAAAAAAAAACCCAGGCATGGTGGCTTATACCTGTAATCCCAGCACTTTGGGAAGCGGAGGATTACCTGAGCCCATAGGTTTGAGATCAGTCTGGGCAATTTGGCAAGACCTCATCTCTACAATAAATCAAAAATTAGTCAGGCATGGTAGCGCATGTCTGTAGTTCCACCTATTTGGAAGGCTTAGGAGGAAGGATCGCTGAGCCCAGCAGGTCAAGGCTACGATGGCTGTGAGCATGCCACTGCACTCCAGTCTGGGCAGCAGAGTGAGACTCTGACTAAAAAAAAAGCAGGTGGGTGGGGGAAGGGTTTGAGGGCACACTGTGGCTTGCAGAGGGCACAGTGTGGCTTGCAGAGGGCCCAGCGTGGCCTAGTGTTTAAACCTGTGGATGGAGGACTTCAGAGTCACTTAGAGGCAGTGGGATGTTACCAGGAATATGGACCAAGGTGAACTTTGCCATCCCCAGGGCATTATCCTAGTATACGACATCACAGACGAGAAATCCTTTGAAAATATTCAGAACTGGATGAAAAGCATCAAAGAGGTGAGGGCCCTCCAAAAAAGAGGGGGAACTGGGGAGAACCTGGAGGGTCAAGGGGCCATGAGGACAGGCAGGACCCAACTTTTACCTGTCTTACCTTTTGCCCCAGAACGCTTCAGATGGGGTGGAGCGCCTCCTGCTGGGGAACAAGTGTGACATGGAGGCCAAAAGGAAGGTGCAGAAGGAGCAGGCGGACAAGGTGAGGGCCAGACTGGGCAGGGATTGAGAGCTGACCAGGAGAAGTGAGATGAGGTTGGACTGCAGAGGACCTGGCTGCTGCCTGACTCCAACTCTCTCCTTCTCACCTCACCCCTTACAGCTGGCTCGAGAGCATGGCATTCGATTTTTCGAGACAAGTGCTAAATCCAGCATGAATGTGGATGAGGTGAGACCCTTCCCACCCACCAAGAGTTGAAGTTTTGGAATATGGACTGTCCTCCCCTTCAAATTGTTCTGACCAATCTTTTTCCCCCTTTTAGGCTTTTAGTTCCCTGGCCCGGGACATCTTGCTCAAGTCAGCAGGCCGGAGATCAGTAAGTTAGTCCTGCTGGGCTAGGTACAACAGCAACGGGTGTGTGTGTGTGTGTGTGTGTGTGTGTGTGTGGTGTATTGGGATAAAAACTGAGAAGCCGGGCTCGGTGGCTCAGCCTGTTGGGCTAGGTACAACAGTAACGGGTGTGTGTGTGTGTGTGTGGTGTATTGGGATAAAAACTGAGGAGAAGCCAGGCTCGGTGGCTCAGCCTGTTGGGCTAGGTACAACAGTAACGGGTGTGTGTGTGTGTGTGTGGTGTATTGGGATAAAAACTGAGGAGAAGCCAGGCTTGGTGGCTCAGCCTGTTGGGCTAGGTACAACAGTAACGGGTGTGTGTGTGTGTGTGTGTGTGTGTGTGTGTGTGTGTGTGTGTGTGTGTGGTGTATTGGGATAAAAACTGAGGAGAAGCCGGGCTCGGTGGCTCAGCCTGTAATCCCGCACTTTGGGAGGCTGAGGTGAGTGGATTTCCTGAGCCCACGGGTTCGAGACCCGCCTGGGAAACTTGGTGAGACCTCATCTCTACAATAAATCAGAAAATCGGCCGGGCATGATAGTGTGTGCCTGTAATTCCAGCTACTCGGAAGGCTGAAGCGGAAGGATCGCTGGAGCCCAGTGGGTCGAGGTTGCAGTGGCCGGGAGCTGCCACTGCACTCCAGTCTGGGCGACAGAGTGAGACTCCGACTTAAAAAAAAAAAAAAAAAATGAGGAGAGAGCAATGATAAGATTTCCCATGAGGGTGGGCTGACTTCAAACAGCATATACCTTTATGCCCTAACCAGCCTTGCATACCCTGACCTGTGTCCTCCTCCCCCTAGGGAAACGGCAACAAGCCCCCCAGCACTGACCTGAAAGCCTGTGACAAGAAGAACACCAACAAGTGCTCCCTGGGCTGAGGATCCTTTCTTGCCTCCCCACCTTAAACCTAGAGACTGAACTTGAGGGAGGCAGGGCTGGGGCTGGGCAGGAGAGAAACAGCAGAGGAGCTTGGATGGATAGATGTGTAGATGGTAAGGAGAAAATGGAGAAGAAAAAAAGAAAAGAAAAAAGAAGGAAAAGAGGCAGGGAGAAGGAAGGAGAAAGAATTGAGGAAGTGAAAGAAGGTAAGGAGGCAGGAATAGAGAAAAGAAGAAAGGAAGGATAAACGGCCTCAGGTCTCAGACCATCTCTGGGTTTCAGGGCAAACATAAATGTAAATACACTGTTTTATTCTGCTACTAGATCAGGTTTTGTGGTTGTGTGAAAGGCTGGCTCAGCTCCACTCTCTGAAGGTTTGGTTCTGTCACTCTGCATGGTCTTTCTTAGCATTAAAGGCCACCATTTGCACAAATGTCCCTGGTTTGGGTAACTTTCATTATTGTCAGAATTGTTTCCCACTCAATCCCAATTCCTGCCTCTCTAAGGTAATTGGTCTACCTGGATAAGACTGGATTCCTGCAGGACTAATCCTACCCCTGTCTCTTCCTCACCTGTTTATTTTTATTTTTGAGTCAGAGTCTCACTCTGTTGCCCAGGCTGGAGCACAGTGGCATGCTCATGGCCACTGTAGCCTCGACCTGCTGGGCTCAGGCAATTCTTCTGCCTCAGCCTTCAAAGTAGCTGGAACTACAGGTGTGTGACATCATGCCAAGCTAATTTTTTTTTTACTTATTGTGGAGACGAGGTCTTACCATGTTGCCCAGTCAGGTTTTGAACTCCTGGGCTCAGGCAGTCCTCTTGCCTCCGCCTCCCAAAGTGCTGGAATTACAGGCTTGAGCCATTGCACCTGGCCTCACCTGTTTAAGTTTTTTTTTAGTCAGTCTCACTCTTACCCAGGCTGGAGTGCAGTGGCATTCTCACAGCCACTGCAGCCTTGAACTGCTAGGCTCAGGCAATCCTTTTGCCTCAGCCTTCCAAGTAGCTGGAACTACAGGCGCATGCCATCATGCCCAGTTAATTTTTTGATTTATTGTAGAAATGAGGTCTCACCAAGTTGCCCAGGCTGGTCTTGAGTACCTGGGCAAGCAATCTTCTAGCCCCAGTCTCCCAAAGTGCTAGGATTACAGGTGTGAGCCACAGCACCCAGCCTGGATACCCTCTTTCAAGTATGGGATCCAGGGGACCCTTGTGGGCAGAAACTTGTCCTGGGCACAGGAAATGCCAAGAGAGAAGGACTCTAGCAGTCCTAGCCTCAGGGAAATAACAGGACTTAGTACTGTTTATACTTGCACAGTGATTTGTGCAAGCTTCTTTGATTCTGTCAGCAATCCATTTAAGTATTTGACAGGTATTATTATCTGCTTTTACTGGAGTGGAAAATGAGAGCTTCATTTATTCATAAGTATTTATTGAGCATCTACTATGTGCCAGGCACAATGGTCAGTTAACATAGCCTTTGGGGGCCAGGCACGGTGGCTCAGCCTATAATCCCAGCACTTTCGGAGCCCAAGGTGAGTGGATTGCCTGAGCCCGCAGGTTCCAGATCAGCCCAGACAACTTGGTGAGACCGCAGCTCCACAATACATCAAAAATTAGCCGGGCATGGAAGTGCACGCCTGTAGTTCCAGCTACTTGGAAGGCTGAGTGGAAAGATTGCCTGAGCCCAGCAGGTCAAGGTTGCGGTGACCATGACTGTGCACTCCAGCCTGGGCAACACAGTGAGACTCCAACTCAAAATAAAATCCAGTTTTAGGGTAGAGACCCCACTCAGTTGCTTGATAAGTTTATTGGAAGTGAAATCTTACATTATCTCAGTTTGTAGTGAGATAAGGCAGAACTTATTAGGAGTAACAAATACTAGCAGAGTTTAGTCCAAACTTTTTTTTTTTTTTTTTTTTTAGTTG